TATCTATCAGGGTTGTGCCCCCACTCTGTATACTTTCTCTTACGGTTCTGCTGCTGTCGCTGAGACAGCGCCTGCTGTGGCGACAGCTGCCGCATTGCAGTTCCGTCCGGGGAAGGATCGCCACCCCAAGGATGGGCGCGGCGGCGGTAGTGGAGGAGGGGGTGGAGGAGGTGGTGGAGCCAGGCCGCCCGCTAGTAGTACGGATGAGGGGACTGGGGCTGGTGCCTCTGAGCAACAGGACCAGCAGCAGCAGCAGCAGCAGCAGCAGGTGCCGCAGCAGCACCCGCAGCAGCGGCAGGCTGGTGGTCTCCCGCCCGGGTGGCTTGGCGCTGGTGGTGGCGGTGGACGTGGTGGTAGTTCGGGTGACGGGTGCTGTCAGTACCAGCTCCAGACCGGTCCTTGCCGCGGCTCCGTATGCGGTAAGATCGGTCATACCCCCGCTCGTTGTTTTTGTTGCCTGGACGACCTGTTTCGTCTTCGCTTCGGCCCGTCCCCCGACCTCCCCGACTGGCACAGCTTGCTTCTCCGTAGTGTTCAGATCTTTGATATGGACATGGATGAGATTAGCTCTGCTTTGTATGTGCTGTATGTCGATGACTCTAGTGTGGCTGGTTCCTACTACCCCTTGTTGCCTAGTGTAAGTGTGCCTAGTTCGGCCTCCCCTGCTACGTCAGGTATAGGATTCCCTGCCTTGTTTAGTCTTGGCTCCTCCCTCGCCACTCCGACCCCGGCCGCCACTGCTGCGCTCTCCTTTACCCTGGACTCTGGCGCTTGCCGGTGTTTCTTTCGCGACTCCACTACGCTGACGCCGCTTGCCGCTCCCGCCACAGTTTCCCTTGCCGACCCCTCCTCAGGTCCGGTAGTCGCTCGTAGCTCCACCACCCTTCCCTGTCCGGCAGTTCCTTCGGGCTCTTACAGGCCTCCACATCCCCTCGTTCTCTAGGAACCTAGTTGGTGTCGGCTGCCTCCAGGACCTTAGCGTCACCACTACGTTTCCTGGTCACGAGCGGTACGCTGTCTGTACTGAGGCCGCGACTGGTGCTCTCCTCACTACGTTCCCCCAGGACCCGATGTCTGGCCTGTTCACGCTGGACACCGCCCCCCCCGGTTGGGACGTCTCCACAGGTGGCTGCGTCTACCCAGGTTGCTGCGGCCTGCTCGTGTCGGTCACTTACTCACCCGACACTTCTGTGGCACCACCGTCTAGGTCACCCTGTGCTCCCGCGTCTGCGTCACATATCTCAGCACGATCTTGTCCTAGGTCTCCCAGAGTCATTCCCTGACTTTCCCTCCTCCCCTGCACCACCGTGCACGCCCTGCGTTGAGGGCTGGCTACGCCGTGCCCCTCACTCCTCCTCGTTCCCCCCCACTGCCGCACCGCTACAGAGCCTGCACATGGACGTCTGGGGCCCCGCCCCCGTCCATGGGTCGCGTCGAGAGCGCTACTTCCTCGTGCTTGTCGACGACTACATGTGCTACACCATGGTTTTTCCCCTGAAGCAGAAGGCAGACGTGCCTGACACTCTTATCCCGTAGCTGGTCTCTGCGCGTGTGCACCGCCGTCTCCTAGTCTTGCGTCTTCACTCCGACCGTGGTGGCGAGTTTGCCTCCGTCGTCCTTGGTCGATTCTATCGTGCGGAGGGCATCACCCAGATGTTCACCCTACCGAACTCACCGCAGCAAAATGGGGTCGCTGAGCGACGCATCAGTTTGGTCATGGAGGTGGCTCGTACCTCCATGATCCATGCCGGTGCACCCCATTTTCTGTGGCCGTTCGCCGTTTGCTACGCCGCTCACCAGCTTAACCTGTGGCCGCACCCCCAGCATTTGCAGGCTTCGCCGACCCTTCTTTGGACCGGGTCCCCTGGTGACGTGTCTGCATTCCACGTTTGGGGCTGCCTTGCTCACGCTTGTGCCTCTGGCACGGACAAGCTCACTGCCCGCACCGTCCCCTGTGTCTTCCTTGGTTTCCCCCTCGACTCGTCTGACTGGCACTTCTACCACCCGCCGTCTCACCGTTTCTTTCACTCTCGCGACGTCACCTTCGACGAGTCCGTCTCCTTCTACCACCGCTTTCCCCACCGTGGTCCTTCGGTTACTCCCCTTCTATTCCTGGTTCCCCCTCCCCCGATCGCCCCTGCTCCTATCCCTCCCCCGTTATCGACCCGTCGGATCCTGTTTCGCGTCTTGATGCTATTGTCGCTGCGGTCGCTGACTTTGCCTCTACCCGCCGTCTTGACTACGCCACTGCTCTGGTCTCTGACCCTGCTCGTTCTCCGTCCGTCGGGGGTGCACCTGCCCTCGGTAATGACGTCGTGGAGGACCGGCAGTACGAGCTTGCTTTCCTGTCCGAGGCTTCTCCCTATCTATGTTCCATGCTGTTAGTCCCTGAGGGTGACCCAGACGATTTCGACATCCCGACCCCTCGCACCTACGCTGAGGCAATCTCAGGACCATAGTCCTCTCAGTGGATAGCTGCCATGGAGCAGGAGATGGCATCTTGGAAATCTACCGGCACCTACGTCGACGCAGTTCCCCCACGTGAGGTGAACATAGTCGATGGCCGGTGGCTCTTCAAGGTGAAGCGCCCCCCTGGAGAGCCGCCTATGTTCAAGGCGCGCTACGTGGCTAGAGGCTTTAGTCAGCGTGAGGGGGTGGACTTCTTTCAGACCTTCGCCTCGACCCCGAAGATGACTTCTCTTCGGGCGCTGCTCCACGTAGCAGCACAGCTTGACTACAAGTTACACTCCCTCGACTTCTCCACTGCGTTTCTTCAAGGCAGCCTACACGAGCAGGTCTACTTGCGCCGCCCTCAGGGCTTCATTGGTACCTTCCCTCATGGAACCAAGTGGCTACTGCGGCGCCCAGTCTACGGCTTGCGACAGGCGCCCTGTGAGTGGCACGACACAATGCGTGCTACCCTTGCTGACTTGCAGTTCTTTCTGTCCTCTGCAGACCCCTCGTTCTTCATTTGTGCTGGCCAGACCCCGTTCTACATCCTTCTTTACGTAGACGACATGGTTTTCGGCACTGCAGACAGGGACGCACTGGCCTCCATGAAGGCAAAGTTGCTGAAGAGACACACCTGAGCTGACCTAGGAGAACTGCGCCACTACCTTGGCCTCCAGATCTCTAGGGACAGAGCAGCGCGCACCATCACTCTCACTCAGTCACACTTGGTGCGCCAGGTCCTTCACAGGTTGGTCTTCAGTTCTCCTCCACACAGCCCACACCTCTGCCTGTAGATCACAGGCTCTCAGCTCCAGTTCCTGAGGAGTCAGTAGAGCCTAGTAGTCCTTACGCAGAGCTCGTGGGTTGAATCATGTACCTGATGACTTGCACTCGTCCAGATCTCACATACCCTCTTAGCATCCTGGCTCGCTTTGTGGCCACAGGCAGACACCGACCACAGCAATGGTCGGCCGCTAAGAGGGTTTTGCGTTATCTAGCAAGTACATTGGGCATGGGGTTAGTGCTAGGAGGACGCATGCTAGTGGTCCTTACTGGGCACACAGATGCTTCTTGGGCAGACAACGCTGAGACCCTCAGGTCCTCGCAGGGCTACTGCTTTAGCCTTGGTTTAGGTGCCGTCTCGTGGAGAGCTACTCGCTCATCGTCTGTTGCCCAGTCCAGCTGTGAGGCCGAGATCTACGCCTGTGCCATGGCGGCACAGGAGCTCCGCTGGCTGACCTTCCTGCTCACTGACTTAGGTGAGCGGCCTAGCTCTGCGCCAGTCCTGTACGGTGACAACAGGGCCATGATCCTCATGTATCAGGAGCCTCGACTTGAGGGCAGAGCGAAGCACATCCAGCTGCGGTACTTCCTCCTGCGTAGTACACTTGGCCTCCGGTGCCAACACAGCTGATATCTTTACGAAGGCGCTTGCGCCTAAAGATCATTAGCGGAACTGTGTACAGCTAGGTCTCGTTCTTGTAGCCTCTCACTTGCTAGGGCCTTGATTATGTACAGACCTTTATATATACTTTACCCTGACTGGCCTTGTGGCCTCTCCTCGTGGCTTGACTAATAGTGCCGCCCTAGTCTTGCTCTTGCCTTGGTTTGTACTTGTTTGACTAGTCTTTAGACCCTTGCCTCAGAGGTTGGACTAGTAGTGCCACCCTGGGCTGCTTGTCTCTCAACAAACACTGCCCCTATCCAGTCTAGGGGGTGTGTCAAACATGTTTATGTGTGATGCTGTAGACCATATAGGGTTGTGCCTTAGAGTGTACAGCCCCCTAGGTCATAATGCCTTGTACTCTCACATTCTAGTCATTCATTCCGTTTGTTTTGGATCACTGTGTAGCGAGCTCCTTATTGATGCACCTATGCTTTCTTAAAATGTACCGGTCTTGTAACTTAGATGACTGCTAATGTTTATTGTATTCATACTGACTAATTCTTTCAGGTCGAAGTGTTTCTCAACATCAAGGCATGGGCCACATTGTATAGAGGTTAGTCATCAGCTTTGGTCCAAGCTGTCAAATTTGGCGACGCCAGCAGGGCGGTGCACAGCCAGGATAGTGCCGAAATTTTGCTGAAGTGGATGTCCAGCACGATTAAATTGGTTGTGTTCGCTCAAATGGCGTGAAAGTCAATGACCGCTCATCTCACGGTCAACGCGGGCATCTCGCCTTCCAACAAAACTTGCACCGCTGGCAACATGCAACGAGGGTTGCACCCACGTGCGCTGGCGAATCGCCACACTTCTTCGTGAAGCGACTTTCTGTCAATCGTGATTTTTCGTCAAACGTTCCCGTAACCTGGATCTTGGGCACGCATCCGGTCCAGACCAGAGCTCTCATGCTGTCCAATTCTCGGGCTGTGCATAAAGCGTCGCAGTGTCTTGCATATCTCGTCAAATCACCTCCAATTTCCACCTATTTCCCAACTACCACCTGCCTTCGTACAAGCTTAGTCCAGTGTCTAGTACCTCTAGCAGTAATCTCATGGCCAAGTTTCTTTCCCGCACCTGCGCGGCGCTTCTGCTAGCCGTCGCGCTGCTCTCTCAGCTGCCCACGTCGACCAGCGCGATTCAAGTGTTCGAATTGGTGGCCGCGCTGGCGCCAAAAGACGTCCAAGAAAGCCTCGTGGCGCGTCTCTTCGCGCTGGACGGCACCAAGGATATCTCCGGCGTGACCATTCTCATCCCGCGGTCAGATCCCCTCAGCACAGCGCCCTATGGCTACGCGTCACTGGACAACTCCACGCGCAAGTACAACCAGGCGCTGTACGACGCGCTCAAGCTCATGAACAGGGCGGGAAGCTCAAGCAAGGGCGAGTGGTCGACGGCCCTTCTGAACGTCTCTGCTATCGTCGCCGGCACGCTGTCGGACATCTGGAAGTTCTAGATCGTCAAGCAGTACATCCTTTTCGGCGTCACCACGCAAAAGGTGTGCCTCGGGATTTTTCTGGCCCTTAATTTATATTTCATTCGCTCAGTAGCGTTTCTTCTGCACTCGCGGGAACGATGACCGACATGTGGAGGTTTCAGATTGTCAAGCAGTGCATCTGCGAGAACGCTGCGAGAACGCTGCGAGAGCGCTGCGAAAAAGCTGCGATAACGCTGCGAGAAAGGTGCGAGAAATCTGCGAGAATACGCCACCCCCCGGCGGGAGTCTACGCCGGAGCATGTGGATGGCGTAGACTCCCGCTGTGTACCGAGTGTCCACTGTTGGAAGCCCTACTGCAGCTGCGGGCAGCCAGGCGTTGACCGACTTATGTCGGTGCACCAGTTGCCCGGCAGCTGCGGGTTGGCGTGATCAAGGTGCATAGACTAACCATTGCGTCCGAAGACTATGTCTAGTTTGTGCAGACTAGTCTTGAGATGCTCACGACGACCAGTGACTCTGACGAGTCATAAGTAGTCGTGGCTATCATAATGGTTTTTCGTGAGGAGCAAGGCAGTGTTTGCCTTGCTGGTTGGAGTTGCGTACACGGCAAACCCAACCTTGCTGAGTTGGGTTGAAGAATTGGGCGAGGCGCGTTCGCCCAACCCTTTGGCAACTTCGGGGTGGTTGGTTACATCCGCAGCGCCACGCAACTTTGGTTGGGTTTGCACTTGCCTATATATTTGCATGCTTCTTTGTACTTGAGATATATATGTTTCTAGTGAACTTCTACTCTACTGGAATTTCGACCAAGTACTTTAAGGCAAACTCTGCCCAATTGCCACCAGCGCCTAGCACGCTATTCAAATAGTGTTACTCTGTCGGAATCGCTCCACACTTTCCCAAGCGCTCTCGCTTTAGCATTCCTACATGGTGCAGTGAGCGTGGAACGAACACGTGCGCGTTATCGATTTTCACCGTCGTCGATCTACTACGTTCGTTCGTTCGTCTTGGAGGCTGCAGCTATAGCAAAGGACTATCATTGGTGTAAGTTGCAATTTATTTAATTTCCCTCCAGTTACGTTCTTGGACCCAAGGATAGGGCTTTTGGTATTTACTTACCATTCGCCTGAGGACCCTTGTGAGGTGACCCCGAGACGAGGGAATTAAGTAAATAGCAGTTTATACTAGCTGATAGTTGGTCTGTAGAAAGGTCGCAGTAATGGCGAACGCGGAGGAGACGAATGTTGACGTCACCGAACTGCACGAGCTAGAGGAGATTCTGCACACGCGTCGTTCTCGCGGAGAGATTAATGACGAGGATTATGAGCTAATGCTGGAAGGGATTCGAGCGAGGTGGCGACGTGACCACCCTTCTCTTCCGGTAGCGGAGAACGCGCAGGCTGGAATTCCGCAAGGTGCGTCAGTGACGGCTAGCGACGATGAAGATAGAGCTAGTGTGGCGAGCGAACGGCGTTTCGCTCGTGGCGTTCTCAGAGGAAACGTACGCGGTAGCACTGCTAGTATGGGTGGCGTTCAGGAGCGTGTGCATCAAGCGGCAGCATCGCGCGAGCGCGACGAGATAGGGCGGCGAAGCGTTGTTGGAGAAGGACATGTAGAGGAGCGCGATAGTGACGTTATGCCCGGCATTATACCGCAAAGTTCTGCGGTAAGAGACGTCGGGATAGCACCTGACTATGGCTACTTTAAATTCACTCCAGACAAGATCGCCGTGCCTAGGCCGTTAGAAGGGCGTCACGACCTGTCATCATGGGTAGAATCGATTGAGCCCCAGCTCGAGATAGCTCAGCTCAAACGCTTTATCGACGGCTCCACCCCTACTCCTCCGAAGCACGCAGTAGCACTTCTCTTGCAATTCCGAGCTGCTCAGTTACTGACGTTTACGACCATTTCTCGTTGTTGCTCCCCCCAAGTGCAAGTCGCCCTTAAAGCATGTCGCTTGAAGGTAGATGCCGGGTTGCAAGCCTGGCAGTTCATCATGCGAACATACATGGCGAAGGACGATTTGTATCTAGGTCAGTTAGAGCAAGCGCTCACTAACCTCGAGTTGGGCGAGCACGAGTCCGCCACGTCTTACTGCAATCGTGCACAGCAGCTTCTCGTAAATCTCAGAATGGCCGGCGTAGACTACTCGCAGGCGTCGTACATTACCCACGTCGTAAAGGGGTTACCGCAGCAGTATAATCCCTTACGTCGTATGCTGAAGCTGCCGCAGGTGCGCGGCGAGTTAGACGACGACACCCTCGCTAGTTATATCATAGAAGAGGAATATACCTTGGCGGCAGAAGGGCGAAAGGACTTCTTCCCTCCCCAGGCAAACCTGACCTTCCCAAAGAGGTTTGGCAAGCCATCAGTCCTCCCAAAGCAAGATACGCTTCCTGCCCCTTCCCCATCCATTCCTGTGCAACAGCCATCGGCGAAGCAGTCAAGCGGGGGTGGAGAAGGAGAGGGGAAGGGAAAAGGGGCGAAGGGGGAAGTGCAGAAAGAGGGGAGAAAGCCTTTCAAGGGGAAATGCTATTCGTGTGGCGCAGAAGGGGCAAGGGAGTGGGGGTGGCGGCAACTGCAAGGAGGGCAGCAGTTCGGGGGGCGGAGGGCAGTCCACCTGCGCGATGGTGGAACCAATCCTAGCGCAGCAGTCTTCGATCTTATTGGAACCGGAGGCCGGGGAAGGCTTGCAGGCTGTTGCAGCTGCTGTGAAAGCCAACCCGAGTGTTGTGCTTTTGGACAGTGGATGTTCCCACCACTTGATGGGAGACCGGGCGGCGTTTGTGGAGCTGATTAATGATAGTTCCATCAGCCAGGTTCGCGGGTTCAATGGCGCGATACAGCCAGTACAAGGGAGGGGCACCATTGCTCTCCTGGGAGAGGGAGGCAAGCGTGTCTTGGTACCAGAAGTGCTGTATGTGCCGGGGGTACAGGCTAGTCTTCTCTCCTCAGGGCAGTTGCGGGATACTGGAGTGCAGTTGTTGGATACAGGGGAGCGGACACTCATGCGTGCACCTGATGGATCCCTTATGGGGCGTGCGGAATTCAAGGGGCGAGTGCTGTGTACTGACCTCAAGCCGTGGCCTCCTGAGCGTGCTGTGGGCGAGACTGTGGCACTTCGGGCGTTGGCCTCCGGCATGCGGTCCTCGGCTGACATGTGGCACGCTCGCCTCGCCCACGTTGGTGTTGACACCATTCGGCGTACTGCAGCTCATGGGTCAGTGATGGGCTTGGAGCTGGAAAAAGGGGGAAAGTCGGGACTGCCTTGTGTTTCTTGTGTGGGGGGGGAAATTACCTGTCATACCTTCCCTCCCATGGGTGGCGAGGAAGATGAGGTGCTTGGAGTTGTGCATGCAGACCTCTGCGGACCCTTTCGGGAGCGGGCCAAGGATGGGAGCCGTTACTTCCTGGTGCTGAAGGATCGGAAGACCCGGTATGTTTGGGTCTACACGCTGGCGCAAAAGAGTGACGCTTTGGCTACCTTCGAGAAGTGGCTACCCTTGGCGGAGCGGCAGTGTGGGACGCAGATGAAGGCGCTGTGCTCCGACCGTGGCGGCGAGTTCCTGGGCGCGGCATTCACTGCCTTCCTCGACCAGCGCAGCATCGAGCACGACCTCATCTGTCCCTACACGCCGGAGCAGAATGGAATGGCGGAGCGGGAGATGCGGAGCATTGTGGAAGTTGTACGGACGATGCTGCTGCACATGGGTGTGCAGCACCACTGGTGGCATCTGGCGGTGGCGCAGGCAGTCTGGGTGCGCAATCATGTGGAGCACGCCTCTCTGCCCGACGGCGTCACCCCGTATGAATTCGCCTTCAGTCGTAAACCTGATGTTAGTATGGTGCGCATCTGGGGCTGCATGCTGCAGTACATGGTGCCGCAGTCTCAGCGTGGGGGAAAGCTCGCACCTAAGGCTCGCTGGGGGTTGCACTTGGGTATGTCTGCAGTCAGCAAGGGCTGGCATGTTTTGGACTTGGAGTCCAATCGCCTGGTCACCACTTCGGAGGCCGTCTTTTATGAGACGATGTCTCTTGCTGGGTGGAAGGCATGGCATCAGCAGGAGCATGCTGGGCGACCACTGTCCTATGAGCCCCTCCCTTCCCTCTTCCCAGATGTGCTTTCGGAGGAGGTTGAGGAGGCGGAAGCGGTTGTCCCTCCTGCCCTACCCTTTGTGCCCATCTCTGTGCCGACCCCTTTCCCTTCCTCTGTGTCTCCTCGGGTCGCACCTCTTGCCCCACCCGCTCCTCCTCCACCCCCTCCCGCATCTCCTCCTTCTTCCTCTTCCCCGTCTGCTATCCCACCTCCTGCTAACCCCTCCCTCCCTCTTGCGTCACGCTCCCCTTCCCCTCTGCCGGCGCTGCTCGTCGGTGAGGGGGGTGTGTTGGAGCCTCCGTCTCTTGTGCCCACCGACGGACAGCTTCCGGCTACGGCGCAGCAGTGGGAAATGGGAGTAAGGGGAGAGCTGACGGAGCTAGTGGGCTTGCAGCAGCAGGGTGAAGGAGATTCGCAGCAGCTGGGCGAAGGAGACCAGCAGCCGCAGAATGAAGGAGAAGGGGGAGAGTGGAGTGGCAGTCGCGTATTGGCTTCAGGAACCATTACTCCAGGCTTGCGTCGCTCTACCCGCATTACGAGGGGAGTTCCGCCTGTTCGTTATGCATGGGCAGTGGTGGTTGAGCCGGGACTGGATGATGCCGACGAGGATGAGGAGTGGACTGAGCTTGATCCGGATGTGGAGACAGACCCGGAGAGACAGTGGGACATTGGGAAGATGACAGTGCCTGAGGCGTTGGGGTGCTGGAAAGGCGACCGTGTTGAAGAGGCAATGGATGAGGAGATGCGGACGTTACTCGAGCAGGAGACTTGGGAACTCATAACACCACCACCTGGGGTGAACATCATGAAGAATCGTTGGATCCTGAACACCAAGTACCGGCCAGATGGACGTGTGGAGCGAGAGAAGGCGAGGCTGGTGGTCAAGGGGTTCACTCAAGTGGCAGGAGTGGATTATGAGGAGACCTATGCGCCTGTGGGGAGTTACGTG